TTTGAACTGAACAATGATTGTGCCCTTACGGGTTGCAATGGTGAAGCCAACTTTTGGCGGGTCAGCCAAATTATTGCCCGTGGTCACAGGTTGCCAACCACTGCTCTAGAACCTCCGAAATGCATATCTACAGTTTTTTACAGTTTCACTGTGTATTGTATCTCTTCCATGAATTATTGCTTAATCAGCAATGTAGGGTAAAATGATCAGTTAATAACTCTGACATCAAATATGTAATACCATCTTGAATGACACTCTGTAAAAGGTTGTGGCATACCCACTTTGACCACCACCCTTTCACACAGGGTCAAAGGAAGGTCAAGAAGAAAGAAACATATAATTAAAACATTAAAAATATAGCTTACAATAATAGCATAAAATGAAATTGAAAGATTGAAAGCTTTTCAGACTTTGCTGAAATAATAATCACTTAAACTGCTGAAACATAGGAAACATTTTTAAGAAACAGCAAGTGGTCTATCTTTTTCAAGTAGCATAAAGAAATCAGAAATTGGTTTTGTTTAAGGTCATGAAATTCTTATGCAAGTTTCTTCTCAATGAAAAAAAAAGTTCTTTATTCTTGACTTAAATATTTTAGAATGAACTAACTCTTAAAGTAGTTAATGTTTCACAACTGTCTCCAATAAATCAAAGTGTAGGGAAGAAGTGAGGGCATCATGGAAGGGAATAGCTTTCTATGCAAAAACTATATGTTTAGATGAAAAGTTAAAAATTGAAGTTGAAATTTTAGCATACATTTATAAAATGTACAAGATAAGTTTTTGTTCTACAACTCTGTAAGAATGAATAGCAAGAGAATGCATAATGCTGGTGCAAGTAATTTGCTGTACATTATTTTAGACATTTAAAATTTCCGGGAACGTGATTGGTGAATCGATGCTTGTGAGGTAATTAGAAAGATAACCCCACTTTTGTGTTTCCGTTTCTTGCATTACATTTCAGCGTGTAGAAAAAATTTCCTAGATTTTCATTTTCACTGTTGAACGATTTCAGGAAGATGAAAAGGTAGTTGAGTTGGTAAAGAAATATGGACCGAAAAAATGGACTCTTATTGCAAAGCATCTGAGGGGACGAATCGGCAAACAGTGTCGAGAGAGGTATAGTTATTAAAACTTTGTATACACTTTTTTCATAAATGATTAGAAATTTTATCCTTTGAGATGGATAGGAAATATTAGATTAGTTGTAAATATTTTTGTTATTCAGAAGTTACCTCTGTTTAATATGTTTTAAATTTCATTTGTTTAAGAAAATTTTGGTGTTTATATTTTGGAGAACATGATAAGTTCTTACTTAAAAAAACTGTTTTCTAACTAACAAAGCAAAGTTGTATTTAATAAGATTGTCTACTAACAGTTTCAGTAAAATTTATTATTTTGTTACTTCTTTTAAATATATTCATACTAAAGATTTATAAATCATATTTAATGCTAAGTCATCTACATTATATCATTACATTGTTTGTAACTAATCCTAAATATCATGGATATCTGTTCCTTATAATTTCATACTTTCAATTTAAAAGGCAATTGGTTATCTGTTTTAAATTTGATTTTTAAGAGTACATTGTAGTTTGGCCTACAAGCTTTACTATCAGGGCTTTATTTAGGCTACCAATAGCTTAAATAATAACTTTTCACAAAAACTAAATGTTCAGATACTGGAGTGTAAATCCATGCAGATTGTGGAATATTTGTGATTTGCTTTATTGTTCTGTCTTTTTGAATTTTGTGAATTGTTTTTTATATTCATACTTTTTCTAATTAAATTTAAAAGATAAAGAAAATGCTTTTATTAGTTTTCAAACAAGGCAGTGCTCTTTATTCTGAAAGAAAATCTCAAAGAAACTTGACAATTAAAAATATCTGTGAAATACTTAGCATATATTTTTAGACTAAAATTATATAATGTTCCAGCTCATAAACATTGTAATATGTAATAACTGGTATGGTGTGAACACTTTTTACAAGCTGGCAAAGCATGATTATAATTAATTATATTTGTCAAAATGTTAGGCTTATTATTATTTTTTTCTACACATTTACAATCTAGTCCCTTTGAGGTTTTCAAGAATTAGAAGAGCATAATATTAATAATAGTATTTCAACCACACTGTATTTGTTATATCCGTTGCCAATGATGCATTTTGCTCATTCTAGAGCTCTTCAGACTGACTAAAATACAATGAATAAGGTAATGGTTGGAACACTATTTCTATAGGGTATTTGTTACAACAGTTATTATAAACTCTACTAATTCTTGAAAATCTCTAAGGGACTAGATTAAGATAGTAGTGTGTAAAAAAAAATAGGCATAACATAATGTCTAATGACAAATATAATTCATTTAGTAATTGATATTAAACTGTTATAAATGTAATTTTTATGAGTAAAACGATGAATGAAATCTGCATCATATTTGTTAAGATAGCTTTTGTAAAAGGTATGCTTTATAATGGTATTTAGTTTTTTTTTCTTTTACATATTTTGCTCTAAGTACTGTTTAAGTAAAATTGTATTGTTGTATACTACATTTTTTAATTTAGATATTTGTATTGATGTTTAACCAGAGGGAGGTTTGATGTAGTGTAATAGGCATGACTTTATAACTAGAACCTACTTTGAAAGATTAGAAAATGTTTTTAGTAGTATAAAGCATAAGTTAGGCTAGAGTACATGATGATTGGTTATTGAGTTAGCAAGTTTGTCAGTTAATCTGAGCCTGTTAGTCAGTTCAGTTTTATGAATATTGAGTTTGGTCTCAATATGTCAGACGAAGCTACAGGGATAGAAATAATGAAATAAAATTACATTCACTTGAGGTAAAGCTATTACATTTCCTCATGTAAAGTTGCATTTCCTCATGAATTGTTTTTTTTTATTTAATCCATGCAATATGTTCACTTTCATTGGTCATAACTAAAGGAATGCGGATGGACCACACATTCCCAATTGGGAAAGCCAATTTAAAAGATGAAATTCCTCAAGCAGAGTTAAATTCTGCTGGAATGTAATATTTCGATCTCTGAGTTAGGAACTTATATAAGTGAAATTGATGTATTAGAGTATACATGAACTTAATCTTTTCTGGCAGATGTCAAGTTAACTTGTAGATCTTACAGTTGAGGAAGTAAAATGCCAAAAGGCTTTTGATATCATTAAGTAGACTGCACTTAGCATTATCTTTATTCAGTAATCCAAAAAATCCTCCCATCATATTTAACAGAAAGTATTACAACAGTATTGTTGATATTTCAAGGGGATAATTTTCTGTATTACTATAGTTACAATAACCACACATTATTGATACAATGTATTTAGTTTAAAAATTAAATTATATTGACATTTATTTTTACTTTGTCACAACATCGTGATTAGTAATAAGTTCTTTCAACCTTCGTGTGTGAGCTTTAATATTCATTATATTGAAGTTATGAACTGCCAAAAAAAAAAATTGCAGGCATCTTCCCACATTGGATGTGGTTGAAATGTTTATAAATGTTTTAGTGCAACACTCCTCAAAGTTTAGTAACCCAAGGACCCCTTTTAATTTAACATTTTTTGCAGACCCCTAAAACTATCAATAATTTTTTTTAGAAAACAAGGTTTTGAGTACATGAAAAGCTATGTTTCAAAATTAAATGCTTTAATTTGTATGAATTTAATTTTACAAAAAAATGTTTTTTATTCTATAAATCATATTTTTCAAAATATTTTAATGAAATTTTGGACATGACTCATGGGCCCCCCTGGAATACCCTTGCAGACCTCAGTTTGAGAAATGCTATTTTAGTAGTTAGCTTTAACTGACTCAATGACACCTGGAGCTTAGACGCATGTTGGAAAAAGCACAGATTGTTCATAAGCAGGAAGTATGTTTTCTATGCATAACTTACACATAATTTCTGTATATTAGTAAAGACTATCAACCACATTTTAAAAAGTATTTGAAGATTTTACAGACTTTCTTTTAAAAAGTGAACAATTATTCTTTCAAACTGAAAGTGCAGTGGCATTTTAACTTTTGTGAGAGTGATGATGAAAATTTGAAATTTTAACATTAAAATCTACTGTAAAGATGTTTTTGATATATATTTTACATGAAAGAAGTTTGCACTTACCTATTGTTTGTAACACCTACATTCATTACTGATAATAAGTTAGCCTATTAATACTAAGTTAGTCCTGTTTTTACAAGTTAGTGTAGAATAAAAGGTATATTGTGTAACAGTTTGAGTAAATATCTCAACTAGCCTACTCTTTAAAGAAAACTGTCCCTTTTTTTCATGTGTATAATTTTGGTTGCCTCAACTAAACAGTTGTTTACTCTTTTTTATAATAATTAGTGTCAATTAAAAAGAAGGAGATCAAAAAAGATATATTGATGAAAATAATCACATAGAAAATTTTGTACATGGATTGAGTTTTTGTAAAGAAAATAAGAGTTTAGTTTAAGTTTTAAGATAAATATGTCAATAAATAAAAACTTAGCAGTAACTTCTTTTTTCTGGATGGGGGGAGGGTATTATAAATGGGTAATAACATCCAAGGAGAGGAATAACTTACCTTTACTCGGTCTCTTTTTAGAAAGTAAACATGAGGGTTTTTACTTCAAAATGAACTGGCTTCTTGACATTACTACATTTATTAATTGATGGAATTATGTTGTTGTATTATAACTATTTTGTTAAACAAGAAATAGCACATACATTTTTTATTATATTATTTCAAGGTGGCATAATCATTTGAACCCATCTATCAAAAAGTCAAAATGGACTGATGATGAGGAAAATATTATATTTCATGCACACAAACAGTTTGGAAACCAGTGGGCTAAAATTGCCAAATTACTGCCTGGAAGGTTAGTGTTTATTCAAATATTGTTAATAACTTAAAAATCATGAAGTGTGTGTTTTGTTTTAGGAAATTTCAGTAAGTATTTTGTGAATTTATTGTAACAATATAAGAAAATGCTATTCTGTATTTTAATAACTAAAAAGAAAAAAAAAGCAATATATTCCACACAGTTGGAGCTACAAACAAAGTAATTTATTTAGTTTTGTTCTTTTTACCTTGTTTGTATATTTAGTTCACCTAGATAGGTTTTGATGTAAATTATTTTTTTCCTTTTATTTTTTCCTACTATCCTCAGTTTCTAGGTGTTCTAATATGTAGAATGAAAAACAATTATTTTTTTATATTTTAAAAATTAACTGTAACTTTTATGAATGAATACTTTCTAAGCATTATTTTTATATAATTAATATTTGAAACTGTTGGTACTTGACAAAAATGTATAATCAAAGAAGTAAGGAAAACAAAGATTATTTCAAGTTTCATGTAAAGTTCATTTATTACTAAGTAAATGAAATATATGTGAAGCATAAAATTATCTTTTTTTCCTTCAATTTTGTTGTTATTTTTAGGTTGTTGATTAAAAAATAAACTGATTTAAGTGTGTGCCAATGTTTTTATCGACATATTGTTTTTGTTTTTTTGTAAAATGTGTCAAGGCTGTTACCCCTAAAAGGAGAAATATATGACAAGTATAATGTAAGCTATATTTTTAATGTTGGGAATTAGCTGTTTGCTAGAGAAAGCTGCTAATGTTGATGCAATGATCAAGAAACTTTTCAAAATATCTAGAAATACAGATGCAGTTCAGTATTAGGTAAGGAGTTAATGAGTAATGAATATGAATTCAGTTAAGTATTTATTGAGAATTGATTGAGTACTTAGTGAGTTAGTTGAGTGTCAAAAAAAGTTTAAGCATTGGTTATCATGTATATTCAATTACTCGATCAATTAGCATTAGAATTGTAGGAGTAGCTATGTTTGTATGTTAATCATAGTATTATTATAAAAGTATTACTGCTGAAACATTATTTGTAAAATTAGGCCTACAACAGTATATAAGTGAGTGTAGCCTGTGAAAGGTTGTAGAAGAAGTAAATTAATTCATTATTATTGCTTGGACTAGACATCTCATTATTTTCACCAGATAAGTTAGCCCTTTCCAAATGGGTCATGGGTCAAAGACCATGTCACCACGTTTTTTCACTTACATTCAAAATTTTATTGAACTACTATTTTATGAATTTATGTCATTAAGTTTGGTATCAAATAGTAGATTATAATTCAAATTTCCATATTATACATTATTTAATTTCTTAATTTAAAAGTAAATGTTAAAAAACACTCGCCTAAACCGATTTTTGTATGTCACATGGTATGTTTAATGCAGAAGTGGTTCAAATTAGATGTTTATGATGTTAAAATATAAAGTCTATAGTTTTGTACAAATTAGGAACACAAATTACTGATATTGACAAGCTAGAATATAAAATAAGAATCTCCTATCTTTTCTATTTGCTGAGATATTGTTTATGTACTGAATCAAACACGGTGGCCCTGCTCACTTCTGTACATTTTTTCAAATGGTCCCTTATATACACCAATCAGAAGCTCTAAATGTCCCCCTAGTGGTTCTCTCAGCCATTTTCAGATATAATGGCATCATCTCTTTCTTTCGAGACAAACCATTGTGCTGGTAAGTTGAGTCTTTAGCCTGTTCGAAATTTAATTAATTTTTTTTAGACCCAGATACAGCTTAGTTACTAAACTTGATAAATTATAATGG